CACTTTTTGTTGGCTTTGCAGTTGAAATACTATCAACTGGATATTGGGGATTTAAATTGTCAATAAAATAACTTGTATGTAGTCTTTTCCCTGTGACTTTTCAGATGTCAGCAGTTGCCCAGGTTTGAAGCATATGAAATATGGTATCACACTACTCTTGAAACAGCCCTTTGTTTAAATAAATTTAGGCTTCTTGCTTGCAGGATAAATTGGAGTAAATGTTGTTATGCATGTATGCAGTGTGTTTTTAAGACATTATTTGTTTACTTTAGTGTTGATTAATCCATCAAGTGTTTTTTTTTTTTGTCAAAATGTAAATCAGCAACTAAGGAAAATTCAATCAGCGGATCTACCGTATACTACCACTGAGCTGAAGTTACACTGACATAAAAAAATGACCTAAAATTTTAATAAATGCTTATTTTTTCCTGAGTTTGTGTCCAGCTGAAGGACCAAATCCTTGTGAGCTGGCTCAGAACCCAAGATACCGCAAAGGACCTCCTGATTGCTTTGACAATAATCAAAATGTAAGGGACGAATAAATTCTGTAGTTTTGTGCAGAGGAGAATTCTGTATTATGCCATTTAATGAAAAAAAAACTATTAAACAAAGGGACAAGGTGGATCAAATCAAATTTAAAATAACTGCATCACAACCCAGCTTGAAACAATTGATAGAACGTCTAAATATTTGGTAAAAAATGTTTCCCACACCTTTGTGAAATCTGCCTTTCATTGTGTTGCAACAATCATACACCCAACAGGCAACTGATTCATGTGTATTCATGTTTATACTATGGAGAGGCCTTCTAAGGAAGCGAAGAGGAAGACAGTGATGGCAAAGGAAGTAGAAGAACTTCATAAAAGTGTGTTTGCCATTTTCCATTTTAAACTGTCTTATTAATTTTGGCACAGCACCTCACAGGAAGACAGTTTGCGTTGAGGGCCGGTCCATTTTGTCACTGGAGTAAACGGAGGAAGCTTCAAATGGCTTTCCTGCTCTTTGAATAAAAAGGACTGCCTTCTATTTCCTCTGGAATTCAGCCCTGTGCTCATATAAGAAGACACCCAAAAATAAGGAAAAACAATGTAGTTCCAATCCAATTTCATTTGTTTAGCACTTTTTAAAGGACCACAGCTAACCAAAGTGCTGTACAGAAGAAAAAATACAAACATCACAGATAAAAGACAAAACAGCTCAAAAATTGATAAAAGTAACATTTTCACTATCAAAGCAATAAAGTATGATAAAAAGATAGAAGATTAAAAAGATAAAATAAAGCCCCCTGTCTTTCTAGGTGTCAACAGCCAAAGGGGAGGTGGGTTTTGACAAGGGATTTAAAAACAGTTCCTTTGTAGTGCTTCACTTTATAGACTACATACTATCCAATAGAACAGTTGAAATCTTTAACATTTTGAAAACATTAATATTTTTTTATATTCACAGGAATCAATGTCCTAAATGAATTGCACAATTGATATACACAGAAATACAGCTTTAAGCTATATTGGGAATTGTTTAAAAACAGAAACTGCACCGTGTGTGTTTAGTTTTTCCCTAAAATGAAAAAAATGTACATTCTATTTATATGTTCTTGCAAAAACTTTAACACACCTCTCGAACTTCCTCCTTTTTCTAGGGTACAATTGCAGATGTCCATAATTGGAAATTTGTGTGAACTGAAAGTGGAACAAAATTTTTAAACAAATACCTAAACAGTATTAATTAGAGAAACATAAATATTGGCTATATATATACATGTATCCCATGTGTATCCTTAGGATAAACGTAAATTTTAGTAGTAAAATTTTTTACTGTAGACAGTTCCAAATTCTAATGTAACAAAGTGCTTTATCAAGGGATTTATATTTTTACTTCTTAATATTGTTTCTAGCCAAATGTGAAGTTTACATATTGTCACTTGCAAAAATTATTGGATGTTTTTATAAGGGTAACTATAAAGGAGGTGGGATCCAGTACTTTGGTAAGAAAATTTTTTGCGAGGACGCTATTTGTTGTGCAGTAAGTATTTGACCTCTGTGGATTTGAAAATACAACTACTTTTGAAGGAAAACTACAAGAAGTCCATTTTGTGGTTAGTCCTTCATTTGAGTTGGGGACTCATCAATCATAAAGGAAGTGCTTTGCTCAGAGGAAAAAATATGTTTTTGTGCTTACATGCAAAAACATTATGCTTGCAACATAATGTGCAAATGCTTTTTTAGTAGGGACGGGCAGGGTGGTTAGAGTAGATAAAAACATATTTCCATTTGAAAATTGTCTATAACATGGAACACCAAAGATGCTTTAGATTTTGTGACAAAATTAGATGTTTGATTTTATATTTCTGTAATCCACTATAGGTCATTGGATAACAGTTTTTGTACTCATGGACCCTCCAAGCCCTCTAAAAGGAAAAATAACTGTTCCAATGTTATTGTCAATAAATATAAAATATGTTGTATTCTACTTCTCACTGACTGATTTGTCTGACAGGAGGATGATTCTGATTGTGGAGGAGGGACCTACCTAAACCCGAGTTTCTGGTCTGTCCTCTGCCTTCAACTACTGCTCTGGCTCACCACATTTTTACAGCAGTCATGACCTCGTTCACAGTTGATCATCACATTTCATGGGAGACCAGAAGACATGCACTTGCGCCATACAGGATGTATGCAGAAATGTGCAACATGAGAAAAACAATCTCAGCATTTTCATTTTTCAATGCCAAAGGGTGCTCATCCATTTCCTGCTCATCGTTTTTAAAAGTGGAAACACATTTATTGAAATCAGCTGCAAACCTGTCCATCATCTACGACTTAAATCTCTCTTTGGTGCAAATGTAAGAGCTAACCAAACCCTTTAATTCTGCCTCATTTGTTTTTTTTATTTATAAAGTGAAGATGGAAGATGTATTCCACTATGCCAACTGGAAATTAATCAAATCAGCATTGATTTGTGAAGTTATAAACAATGCCTGTTTGTTTGGGGCGAAATGCTGTATAGGGTTCTTCTCAACTACTTCAAATATTAATATGCTTTTGGTTAAAAAAAATTAGTATTATTATTTTAATAATTTAGAATAATTATTAAATTTTTTTATAATTTTGTTTGCAGTATGAACCTACCTTTAGTGACTTGCTAGGTGTTTCATTGTAGCAGCATGTGCTCAGTAGAGAGCTTTGGACGACACCATCACTTTGACACCAAAGCCCCTGGACAGTACCAAGGATCACATCTTTCACACAGAATGTGCACGCTATTTTTTTTAAGAGATTATTTAAATATGGGAATACAGTTTATCTGTATTTCAGCTACAGATTTAGATATGTACCCTGCACCCTGCGCTGCATCCTGTGCAGGGTCCTTTTTGGTAAATAACCATTTCAAACATGGCTGTGCTTGGACTGACAGCTTTGGGTGTCTTCAGTTTGATGCATTGAATCCCCAGTGCCTACATAGTAGCTCATACATTCTGATATATGAATGAAGCAATGGACCAGAGTTGTATTCTTACCATGTTTGCCTCTAGGTTAATACTGATTTTACTAAGGCTGGGAAGTCAGGCCTGGAAGTGATACTTTATGTAAGGGGTCAAATTCCACTGGTATTATTCTGCTGTTATTCTAACTAATGAGATACAAACCATAGCTCAAAATACCAATGATTTTGATTACTAGTGAGGGAGAAACAAACCTAAAGCAGACCTGTCTTTGCGTTCTAGCATCTCTCTTTATCCTGAATAATCCTGTTTCTGTTCCGTTTCTGCACCATCAGACTCAGGAGCCAAGATGACTTGTGAATGAGATCAGCATATCAAAGACTGTTTTATTTGTTTTGTTTTTCTTGCTGTCTTCTCTCTATGCTTGTTTCCTTCGTTGTGTTGCTCTAAAATCTGTGAAGAAGGACCCTGAAGGTTTAGTGTCTAAATGCTGCATTGTGATTGGATGAGCTTGTTTGTGTTTGAACACTGTATTTGCTTGAGTCAGCATCAGGGCCCACTGGAGGGAAACTATCAGAACACATCACTACCAGTGGTAATTTCGTATTGCCTTATTTAGTCACAAAGATCCTACTTGCGTTTCAATCAGTTTTATCTTAAGCTATTTTCCTGAAAGCTTCTAAATCCTCTCTACCTTGCCTTCATGGTGATATCCTGCTGTTGAGTGATCAGGTTATGCTGTCTATCGAAGTTGCGTGTTGACCTGTGTTTTATCCCAGGGGTCCTGTGTCTATGTGCAGGCATGTGCGTGTCCCTCTGAATTCTGATTGTGCTTTAATACTATATATAACAATACTCTTTTGTGGAACTTCACTAGCCTGAATACGTTTTGTATACATTTGTACACTAATACTATTTAATGTATAAAAGAAAAAAATCATGCAAAACAAAATGTTTATAATATGGTGTTGATTATTGTGCAAATATATATTCACAATAAAAGTGTTGTATTGTTATGCCTAAGATTCTACCATTTTTCCCAACACATGTTGATTTGCTCCTGTAGGAATCTGACCGAAACATCCTACTTGCTGGAAAAGGAAAACATCTGGACATCTGCTCCACTATTAGCGCATACATAAAATTACCATAATTTCCTTACTGCCTAATTTTATCTTTTTGTCCTTCAATAATATCAAGTTGAGTTGCAGCATTGTCTACACAGTCTGAACAAAGAGCAGCTAAGAAAATGTATATACTTTTTGTATTCTTTGAAACTATTGTTTAAGGAAACTATATATTTTTTTTTTTTTTTGTTAAATGTTTATCAAAGATTTAAACCTTAATTTTATGGGCAAGGATCTGTCAATCCTAAACCTTTCAAATAATTGATCCTTGCTTACTTTAAGGACAACACCTCTTGAACAACTGTTGTAAGATATCAAACTTCAACTAATTCCAACCAATGGATGCCTATTTTTTGCACTGTAATGAAACAAATGAAATGTATTTCATTATTGCAAACTACTATGTCATAACAGGCATACTGTAATTGAGTTGGAACCTTTTAATTTCAGTGGCAGATGTAGTTTTAGAGTAGTCTTTTCATTTTACCAGGATTTTGTTTTTTTATCCATTTTAAAGTAATGGACTGGTCTAGCCAAGGCCCTCACTTAAATGATTTGAATCATTGGAGCAAGCTAAAGATTATAGTGATGTCATGGAGACCTTTCCACCTCCAATCAAGACATGAAGTTCGTCATCAATTTGAAAACATTTCAAATGGGATAGCAATCAAGAAGAGATTGAGTGCTGTATTGCTGACATGATTTTTCCATTAATTGTGATATGAGTATGCATGTTTGGTTTGGATCATTTTTTATAAAATGCAAATAAAATTCACACCAAAATACAAACTCTTTTACAATGTTTCATTATATTTTTCAGATGCCTGCCTCATTTTGAGAAACAAATGTATTGTTTTGATAAAAATAATTCAATCTAAAACTATGAATTAGTTTGCTCTAAATTATCTCAACATTATGAATAAGCAAAGTTATTTATTAGAATTAGAGACATAATCTTTTTGTTACAGCTGTTAAAATAGTATTTCAGATCTAGGAAAGTAAACAAACAATGTTATACAACTGTGCTTGAAAGAAAGAGTTTAAATTTAGTGTCTGCGTCTTCCGAAAGGCCACATTCGTAGGCCAATTATGTCATAGCGTGGTGACATGACCTGTTCAGATTGAAAGACGCCTCATTATGTGGCCGACAAATGCAGCATTCTTTTCACCCATTTTGAAGGACAGGTCTGGTGTATCCTACATAGCCTTGGGTATCCCATGATTCATTGCAAGTCCAAGCAAGCCAGCTGCTCCATGCTCAGATGAAACAGAGAAATGGCGCCGAACATTGGAGAATATTGTTAGTGAAGTTTACTATAATAGAAATATCTAAAAAGTTCAGTCTGAAATTAACGAAAATAGTAATTTTAAATGGTTATTGAGTCAGATATGTGGCGAGTAATGTTTGGTTTATTGAGAGGTTTATATCTGTCCCTGGAGAAATGGGTTTGACTGACATTTAAGCACGGATTCCAATATTTGTGGTGTGGGGACAATAAATCTGATAATTGTGATGCTGCTGCTGAAGCTCTTCAAAAATGTATTTAGCATACAGAACCATACTGAGAGGTTTCGGTATCCATTCTTGGTCTACTTTGTGGGTCAACTGTCATGGTTGCTACAGGTGGTGAAAGCCGGAGAAGTCTGGACCTGTTTTAGTCCATTGCCAAACTCTTCCGGCCTCCTTATTTTCACGGACCTCGAAAGACCCAGTCAAATTAGGATCTTGGTCCTGGGAGGATGCAGCCACTGGAATCGAACACACCCAGTGTGTCACTGTGCTAATGGTTACCCCCTTAACCTCTAGGAAAAACCCATAAATAAAGCAAAATAAACTTAATTGAGCTTTCACAAAAACCAATTAGATGTATGTTCTCCTGTTAAAATTTAGTTATTTATTTGAATAGGGACAAAGCACATTAATGAACATCAGTATAAAAACAAATGTAAATATGCCAGATTATAGCTACAAAGCTAGTTTTCATCCGTAGTCCCTAGGCAGGCAAATACGTACATAAAAAAGAACATATACAATATAAGCATCACAAGGAAATGTTGAGTTTAGTGGTCACATGACTGGTTTGTTTTCATCCATAGTTTGAGTTGAGCTCTAAAGCTGATCAGTGTAGGGCTCTCCCGTATGTGCAGGGGAAGACTGTTCTAGATGTTAGTGGCTCTCACAGAGACTGCGTTCTGACCAAAAGTTGTTCTTCTGTGAGGGACCTCACAGTCTCCTCTGGAGGAGGCTCTGGTTTTCAGGCCACTTGAAGTCGTAGGTTTGAACAGAGTAGACACAGGAGGTGGGGCTAGTCCATGTAGCGCTTTAAAAAGGAAGCATACATACTTAAGATTTTCAAAATTTAAAAGATTGTACTTGTTCAAAATATAACATACATGAAAATAATTGGGTTTTTGGTCAAACACTTTAAGATATTTTTTGTACAGTGATTCAATTCATTTTAAATTGGTAACTGGTGAGAGACCAACTTGTGATGCAGTATTCAATGTGAGATAAAATCATCGAGTGGAGAACCATTCTAGCAGCACCAAGTGTTAAAAAAGACCTGATTTGTTTAAAATTTTTAAGGTTAAATTTGTCAGTATTGACCGTTTTTTTTTTTGTTTTTTTTTTTGTAAAGGATAAAGTGAAATTAAGTATCACGCCAAGGTACTTGAATTCTGTGACAAGTTGTAATTCTTCTCCTCTCAAGAATACTCCGGAGCTTCTTATTTATTTTTTTGATGGCTTTGAGAAACAGACCGTTTTTTTATTGAGAAGCAAACATGATTTAAAAAGCCAGTCATTTACTTGCTCCATGGCTGAGGTCAGAACAGAAGCTGCCTCTTTAACACTCCTTGCAGGAGTATGAATAACAGCGTCATCTGCATACATTTAAAAATTCACATTATTACATGTTTTGGGAAGATCATTTATGTACAGGGAGAATAACAGGGGACCAAGTATTAATCCTTGCGGCACACTGACAGAGACATCCAAGACCGATGATTTTATACTGTCAATTTTTACACATTGTTTTCTTGAGGATAAGTATGACTTAAGCTACTAAATTGCCTCTGGTGAGAAATTGAAGTCTGACAATTTTGTTAGAAGAATTTCATGGTTGACAGTGTCGAAAGCCTTTTTAAGGTCAAGGAACACTGCACCAACACAGGGGTATATATCCAATTTACTTTTCACCTTTTCTATAAAAATGCTGTTTGCTGATTCAGTGGAGTGGTTTGCTCTGAAGCCAAATTGCATTGCATGTAGGTGCAATGCAAACAAGTTAAAGTCAAGTCAAAATGTCTTATTTGTGCTGCCACTGCAAAAAAACAAAAACAAAAAAATCATGGCAATTGTGGTTATTAAAATGAGGAGATTGGACAGAAAGGGTCATCAAACATGCAGCACACACTTTTAAACATGTATTTTTTTGTTGATTTATTTATTGATTGATTGATTTTATTGATCTCACAG